CAGCGAACACGCTGCAGGGCAGTGCAGGAAAGGCTCAGCCTCCCTTGGTGCTGCTCTCTGCAGACCTGGGGCCAGGAGAAAGTTGAGTTTAATGTAAGGTGACCAGACATCCCGAGTCCCTATTTTTCACTATTTGTCCCGAGTCCCGAAGCATTTTTAAAAAGTTCCGATTTTTGGAAAGCATTAATTTAATGCTCCCCACACTTCACAGGCTACATGGCCAGCCTCTGACTGGGCAGAGGGCAGCCCAGCTCTAGGCCCCTGATAGGGAGACTGAGGCCGGCTGGGGAGAAAGGAAGGGGTCCTAGGAAGGCCTGAGTTTCTGTCTTGGCTCTCCCACTTTCTTTGACCTTGAGCTAGCCGCTTGACCTCCGAGACTCTGTTTTCTCATCTGTAAAATGGGAACACGGTCCTGCCTAACTCACAAGCTCTTTATGAGGACCAGATGAGAGGCAAGTTGTTAGCACATGTGGTTGGTTGTGAAGGGCACATGTGTGTGAGGATTGTCAGCCGCTCCCTGCAGGCGTTAAAACCTCTCAAAGTTCTTGGCCGCGTGAGGGGACTCAGGGGGCCCCTCAGTTTGGTGTGAGTCATCAGGAATGAGGGCTGAGATGACCGCAGCTGAAACCTCCTGTTCAGACAGTGAGGAATATGGAAACCTTGTCGAATGAGGACCTGGATCCCTGACCTGACCTGGCCATTTCCAAAATCTCCAGTGGACTGGTGAGAATATTTAAATTGTTCTGTGTGGGTCCCAGTCATAGCCAAGTGCCATAAGGGTTGTTAGAGGTGGTAGATTTCAGCTCAGTCTTTGGATAATTTCTCCCCCACCAAGGAAATGGCATCCGAGGACGTAATGCGTTCTTGGTCCCTGGAATCTTTGGCATGTCCCTGGCCATCTCCCAGGAGGCTGAGTTCCCCCTTTCCTTCTCTGAGGTTCTGGGGGTCCTGGAAGCCTCTCCCAGCCCTAGTGCTTACCTTATACCTCTGAAGCCACCACTCGGAAACCACCTTCTCCAGTGCCTGCACACACAGGAAGGCCTATGGTGCTCGGGGCTTGTTTGTTTGGTCTCCACCGGAGCACTCGGCCCCACAAGCCCTCCTTGTTCCATCTCCTCACCTGAGGATACTTGAGCCCTGGGCTCATTAGCTCTCGACCCCTTTGAAGGCAGCTCCAGAATCATTCTGTCCAAGGTTTGGGTTTCAGTGTCCCTAACGCCCTCAGAAATGCCCCTGACAGGGGCAGTGTTAGCCCAGTCATGGCAGAGTTCCTACTGGAGGCTGCTGGTGGGCGCCTCCCGCACATTCTCTCCTAAGGAGCGGCACCCAGGGCCCTGAGAGAGGAGGGGAGCAGGAGCTGGCCCATGTGGCAGCACTCTGTGGCTGCTCCTGTGCACGGGCTTCCAGACTTTTCCCGCTGTTACATAACGGAGGTATTTTTCCCCCTTCTTATTTTAGATCCTGGTACCATCTGCCCTGCTTTTCATGCATCACTAGCTCCAGGCTGCAGGTTAGATCTGGCTTGGCCACCCAGCTCTATCCCTCACTTGGCGAGAGACTTAGAGTTGTCTGTTTCCTTAGGTATAAAATGAGATTCTGGTTTCACCCTCCTTCCCTCCCTCCCAGGGCTGCTGTGAGAATCGGTGGAGAGGAAGGGGTGTGCTGGCTGTGTAATATGCTCACCTATCCAGATGTCCCTGGTTGTTACCTGGCAGCCTGAGCCTGGTGTCACCTGAGCTGGGGGGGAAGAGGGGTCCTGCTTACTCATGCCCACACCTGCACCAGGTTTGCCCAGCTTTGCAGAGCTGGACCCTGTTTGAAATACAGGAAGTGCGCAGGCCACACAGGGGTGGGGAGGGGGCCTCTTTGGCAGGGCCCCTGCTGTGGGCAGCAGAGGCAAGCCCAAGCAGCTTGTGGCAGGCAAGGCCAGGCAGCCTGTCACCTGCTCACAGTGCCTCTTGGCTCAGGGTGGAATGTCAGGCACATGCGCTCTGTAGCAAGGCATTGTCAGGAGGTCAGTGCAGGCTGAAGGCAGCAGGCCATGGGGCCCACGGACAAAGGTACTCCTGGCCAAAGTCTGGGGTGCAAGCTGAGCCTTGCCTGAGGCCCCTCCCACAGTTAGAGGCTTTGTCTACTTGCTTTCCCTCCTCTTGCCTGAGGCACCAATTGGGGCCCTGGACTGAGAGCCCCTGGCTGAAGGTCACACCACAGGGGTGCAGTACAGGACGGCAGAGGGCGCTGCACCCGCTCCAGCCTCACTGGCCTAAGGAAGATTAAATGAGATCATGAACCTGCTGACTGGGAGATGGAAGTGGACGTCAAGGGGCCCAGGCTAGTCCTTCTGGCCTGAGACAGAGGGAGAAACATCAAGCCTGGGCAGTAGGACTGGACAAGGAGAGCCAGGTGGCAGCCTTTGGAAGGTTTCGTCTCTCCCCGCAACCCCACAAGAAGGGGTGACTCTCTGCAGACCATCAGTGAGGGCCTAGGTGCCTGCTGGCCCTGACCCACTTCATTGGGGCCACAGGGTAAGTGATGGTGAACAGCAGCCCTCCAGGGACTGTGACACTAATAAATCACTTCCCCTCTTGGGAACCACCACCTCTGTGCTGTCCACCTCAGCCGGCTCTTGTGAGGATCAAAACCAGACTCTGCACCTCAGTAGGCACTAAGCTGCCAGAACGAGAATGGTAAATGTGAGGTTTTAATTAGCACTGAGAGTATCTGGAGGGGAGGTTCTCTGGGGCTTTCAATCACAGGGACAAAAATTAAAACTCAGGCAGCCTAGTGCTCGCTTCGGCAGCACATATATTAAAACTCAGGCAGCCTGCAGGCCAGCCCAGCAGTTCAATCTTTCTCTCGGAGACCCCAGCAGACTTGAATGCAGCTTCTCCAGTGTTCTTTTTCCTGCTGACCCCAGCTCTGAGTGGGAGACCATCTCCCCACTTGCTAGTTCATAGCTCTCCATGCATTCCTTTTCCTAGTTCATAGCTCTCCATGCATTCCTTTCCTTTAATAAAATTAAGCATGAGCCCTAGCTTGTTTGGCTCAGTGGATAGAACACTGGCCTGTAGAGTGAAGGGTCCCAGGTTCGATTCCAGTTAAGGGCACATGCACAGGTTTCGGGCTCAATCCCCAGTAGGGAGTGTGCAGGAGGCAAGCCGATCAATGATTCTCTCTCATCGCTGATGTTTGTATCTCTTCCATTCCCTTCCTACCTGAAGTCAATAAAAATATATTTTTAAAAATTAATCATGAAAATAAAAGGTGTAAAAATGCAATTCTGAAAGGCAAGCTCTGAGACAAAAGGATCTTATTGTTATGTAAACATGATGGCCATCAAATGTCCCTCTGGCTCTAGGGAATTTCAGACCTGCCTGGCCTCACGGTCATCCCTGCCCTCACTGTCTCGGCCTCACCTTGCAGAAAGGAGCTGGGACAGGGCATCCCTGGTTGAAGACAGGGGAAAAGGGGCAAAGGCAGGGTGAATTTGCTCGTTGTGGGATCTGCTTTCCTGGGGTCCCAGCTGCCGAGGTCCTTCTGCCTTCTCCTAGCATCAGCTCCACATGTAAGCCAGACAGCTACCAGGGCGGCGGGAACCCTGTTGCTAAAGGGCCTTGTGCCTGTGCCAGTGGGGATCACAAACCCTTTGAGAGGAAAAACATCCTGTGCTCCCACCTCAGTCTTGAGTGGAAGCTCCCAGCCTGGAGCACAGGATGTTCCGGCAGCAGGTGCAGGGCGCCCTCTCGTGGCAGGAATGGCCCTTCCAGGGAGGACAGAAGTGCAGGGCTGTGATTGGCAAGGCTTGACACTCAGGACCCTGTCCTAGGCCTGCAGCCACCTGGAGGAGGGTAGTTCCTGGTTTAGATCTGAACATCCAGGCCCTGGGAAATTTCAAGGAGAGCAGCCTTCAAACTCAACTCCAAGAAATGGTGAAGACAGCCTATCAGTGACCTGACATCTTACTTAAAAATAAGGCCAACAGCCCTCGCCTGTGTGGTACCAGGAGGTTTGGGTTCGATTCCTGGTCAAGGGCACATGCCTGGGTTGTGAGCTCAATCTCTGGTAGGGAGCATGCAGGAGGAAGCCAGTTAATGTTGTGCTCTTTCCATCGATGTTTCTCTCTTGCTCCTCCTCTCCCTTCCTCTCTCTCTAAAAATCAATAAATTGCTCTTTAAAGAAAAGACCACAGCAGGAAGGCAAACCATCAATGAAGGCCACCCTGAGCCTTAAAGAACAGCTGTGTGTGTGTGTGTGTGTGTGTGTGTATATGCACAAATGTGTGTGTGAGTGTGAACACCACATGAGGTAGACAGAGACTCGCCCCACCCTGGGGGAGAGGGTGCCACAGTGCCTGGCCTTTGCACCATAGCTCCTGCCAAGGATACCTCAGGAGTCCACTCCAGGCAAAACTAATCAGACCCAAACCAGAAACCACCCTCTTTAAAGTAGGGGTGTCGAACTCAATCAGAGAAGGGGCCAAAATCTAAAATCCAGCCTAAATCGCGGGCCGAATGGTTTACTGAACAGTCATAAACTGTCATTGTGATGGAAACGCAGCGGAGTGCAGTGATGACAGCGCGGTGTGGGCCACATTGCAAGGCCTGGCGGGACGGATTTGGCCCGTGGGCCTTGTGTTTGACACATGTGAGCTAAAGAGTACCTCTCACTCAGTCTGTCCTAAGTCTTAAAAGAGCTTTGAGATGTAAATCTCTACAACATCCCACCCCCTCCACAGTCAGTGCTGAGCTGTGGCCACACACACCGGCACCATGGACATGCAGAAAGGTGTACCGTGGGCACATGAGGCTCAGGCGAGATCACAGCGCTCAGAGGACTCAGCGGGACCCAGAGCGCCCTGGAACACAGTTCTACAAGCAGGGACAGGAACACGTGACCTGGACCATTCACAAGCGGTCAAAGGACTACTCATGTATCCTCTTTGGGCTCCAAATTCTTTGTGTTCAAAAGAAAAGAATCTGTTCCCTTCCTCCTGAGGCTGGCTTAAAGGATCAAACGAGTTACATTTTTTGAATGGGGTTTTGGCTTAAAATGTGAAAGATTAGTTTCTGTTTTTTAACAAATCTGTTTTTAATATAAAGATATTTCCCCCAAATCTTCGTATGAAATCAACTCCAGAAAGACAGATGCACCAAGTTTGCCCTGAAGTTTAGGGGCCCTACCCACCACTCCGTACCCAATGGAAGAGACCAAGCCATTCATGGTGTACTGGAGTCAGGGTGGGCTCCCCATTTCTGTTGATATAAAAATGGGTAGTGGGTCTTCCTGGGATGGTGGACAATCCACAAGTGGGTAATGAAGAGGTGACTATATAGGCTGCTTCCTTCCTTCCCTCCCTCCCTCCCTCCCTCACTCCCTCCCTCCTCTTCCCTCCTGCCCGCTAGAAACGCCTCAGTGTATGTAGATCCGGTCGGAGATGGCTCCAGGCATGTGGGTCATGATCTGCATCCGCAGCCACCAGTAGTAGTCCATGGGGTGGTAGCGGGTGTAGGGTCTGCCGGCGGTCAGGGCGTGGGTGACGGCGTTGATGACGGGGGTGGTGTCGGTGGAGCCGCTGCTGCAGTAGGTCTCCATGGCGGCGAGCTTCTCGTCAAAGTACTTCCTGCCGTAGTCCTTGCGCACCACCTCGGGCAGATCAGCCCACATCTTATTGGCGATGCTCTGGATGCGCTCGGGGGTGTAGAGGCTGGTGGCGGCGATGAAGTTGCCGGGCTCCACCACGCAGACCTTCACACCCAGAGGGTGCATCTCGTAGCGCAGGCAGTCGGAGAACGCCTCCACCCCGAACTTGGTGATGCAGTACGGGGAGCGGGCAGGGTTGGCCATGCGGCCCAGCATGCTGCTGATGTTGACCACACGGCCTACAGGGGAAGACAGCAAGCACACTGCTCAGGGGGCATTGCCTGGGGGGTGAGGGGATGGTGGTGGCAGAGGGCCTGGGGTCTGGCATGTTTCCAGAGACCTGGCTAGAACCTGGCCACCTGGCCCCTGGTACTGAGGGTGCTGCCTGCCAGGCTGGGGCCCAGCCTGCACCATGCAAGGTCCGAGGGCCTTCTCATTCATAGTCAAGACCAGCTCAGACCCACACACATCAGTATCAACATCCCTGGCACTTTCCCCGCAGCCAGCTGTGCTGGGCAGGTCAGAGGAGGAGGAGAAATGAGTGAGAAGCAAAGCTGCATCTCACCTCCCACGTTCTCCCATTGTATTTCCCTCCCAAATGCTACTACCTGGCAGTGCTCTGTTGGCAAGCAAGGAGGGGCAGGGGCAGGGGCAGGGGCAGGGTTCTGGACCTGACTTCAGGGCTGGGACATGTGGGCAGAGTCTTGGGCACTGGGAGAGAGTGATGACCTCAAGAGGCCTCCCACAGGCCCAGGCTGGGTGTGCGAGTCCACAGCTTCTCCCCGCCCTGGGGGCATGGAAGAGGCGGAGCCCAGACGGACAGACAGCCCAGGCTGACCTGGGACCCACTCACTCTGGGAGTGCACCCAGGAAAAGGCACAGCCCCCTCCTGGGCAGTGAGGGAGGCTCCTTTCAGAAACCTCTGTTAGAGGTCACTGAACGGTTGCAGTCTTCTGAAGCCCTACAGCACGCTCTGGGTCCATCCTGCCATTGCTGGGACCTCGGGGTAGACCACACGGGTCTTCCCCTTTTTGCCACAATTATTTCCTCTTCTAGGGAGGACATCTGACTCGGTGACTTCTAGGCTGTTTACTTACATTGGCTACCTAACGTGGTTTGGGCACGGGGTCTGTACACAGGGTGGCGATTCCTCCAGATTAGGTTCCCAGAGTGGGATTTGCTGCAGAGACGGCTCTACTTTCTGAAAACCACACATCCCTTCCGCCTGCCAGGCCACGCCTCCTCCGAGCAACACCACCCCCAGGCTCTGCTCGGCCCCTGGGAGACGTTGGATCTGCTGAGACCTACTCCCATTCTGAGCAAAGAAGAAAAGGTGGGGCGGGTCCAGGGGTGAGGAGGAAGGTCCCTTTCCAACTCACCTTTGGCCCTTCGGATGAGAGGGAGGAAGGATTTTGTCGTCCGCACGGTGCCCCAGAGGTTCACTTCTGCCACCTCCTTGTAGGTCTCCATGCTGGTGAACTCCACCTCCCCGAACGTGGAGATGCCCGCGTTGTTGACCAGGCCCCACATCCCTGGACGGGAGGGTACAGAACCGAGGTCACCACGTGGGCTAGATCACCCTTCAGCCCGCAGCCCGTCCCCCTCCTCACTTTCATCCTTTTCCCCATGGCTTGCCAGCTTTGTGCCCAAGGCTCTTGGGACACCTTCTAGAGTAGGGGTGTCGAACTCAATCAGAGAAGGTGCCAAAATCTAAAATCCAGCCTAAATCGAGGGCCGAATGGTTTACTGAACAGTCATAAACTATCATTGTGATGGAAACGCAGCGGAGTGCAGTGATGACAGCGCGGTGCGGGCCACATTGCAAGGCCTGGCGGGACGGATTTGGCCCGAGGGCCTTGTGTTTGACACGTGTTCTAGAGTCACCAAAGAAAACAGGAGATAGTGCTATGATCCTCCCTTAAATCTGCCCCCAATCCTTATCTTTCTTCTGCCTTAACCGAGTCTCTGGGCCCTTCATGACCCAGTCCTGCTGGTGCCCCAGCCTGGAGTCCCACCTCACCTCACTCACTTCCACTTTATTCCAGCCAGTCTCACCCCACACTCTGCACGGGGCACTGTGTAATCCTCCCTGCCTCTGAACTTCCCCTCTTGCCAGAAGCCAAGAGGGTAAGTTCAGGAGTCTTCCAGGCCAGGCCTCTCTGCGCAACCAGAGAGGGGACCCAGCATCCAACATCACACAAGAGGCTCAGTCAAGCCTTGACCTTGCGCTGGGCCTCTATTCTTCTTCACCCTGAGACCCGCCTAGCAATGACACCCTGCTCTGACCTCCCTTCTCTGAACCATGCCCTGGTGCTGGTTATCACGTGGTAAGCCCCGGTGACCCGGTAACCTATTCCCCAATACCCAGGTGTGGACAGCCAGCCTGTGCAGGTGGAGAACACCCCTCAGCCTGGTGTGGTCCCACAGGTACAGGGTCAGAGCAAATGGACACTCACCCAGTAAACTTGTGTGGACTATTTCCAGTAAAACCAGCAAAGGGACAGATGGCTTTTCTAGACACACAACACTGGTGCTGGAAGGCTCCTGAGGTCACATGGTCTGATAACTAATTTCAGAAGCAGGGATATGGAGGCCCCGGGGAAAGGACTGGCTGCTGTGTGCCCAGGAAGCGCTGCTGTCTGGGGAGAGGGATAGAGAGGGGGTGCCCCTTGCCTGGGGGGAATTCTGGTCCAGCCTGCTTTCTGAGTTCATCATGGAATGTGTGTAAATGACAGAGTAATTGGTCTCTGGCTGCTCCCTTCCGTGCTACCCAAATTAAAGCTTCATCAGCTGACCTCTGGGGCTTTCTCCTTCAATTATGGGACATTAAGGACGGTTATTAGGGAAAGGAAATTGCTGGTTAACAAAGTGCTCCTGAAGTTCTCACTCCCACTCTCCACTGAAAGCTAAAGCCTGGCTCTCAGGTCTTACTGAGGACCTTGCAATGACTCAGCCACTACAACCCCCACAGCTGCGTCCCCTCCCCTCTCCCAGCCCTGCAGATTCCACCATTCCCCCCACCCCCCTTCCCAGGAGGCCACTCTCAGCCCCTGCCAAGGCTGACACTTCACTTTGCACCATCCTCATTGTAAGCCATCAACCCTCTCTGTTTTTTGCAACTTCAACTCTTCTGTCGTTCCTGTCTCCTTCCCTTCAACGTGGTACACATTAGGTGCTTAATAAATGTTGGAGAGGTGAATACAAATACCATGTCCCCATATTCTAAAGGACCTCCTCTTTACCAGGCTACTCCCTCGTGCTATTCTCTGCTCCCCTCCCCTCCGAGGCCAGTCTGCTGAGAGCACAAGCTACCCGCCCGTTTCCCGTTTCCCTGCCCTTCTGGGTCCCAGCCCTGCCCCTGGCTGCTCTGGGTGTCAAGGGCGCCACATGCTAACAATGCCCCTTTGTCTTCACTCTCAGCTTCTCCACAGAATGAGTGCTCCTGACACTCACTCCCCCTTGGTGTTAATAACATCCAGGCGCCTCCTTCATCCTCCCTGCCACCTTTCTTCTCCCTGCCCCTCTAAGGTACAGGTGGCCCCAGTGTCCTGTCCTAGACCACCTTTCCTCAAATCTATACTCACTGCTGCCCGGCCAGTGTGTCTGTGGTTGGGCATGACCTATGAACCAGGAAGTCGCGATTTGATTCCTGGTTAAGTCACATGCCCAGCTTGCAGGCTTGATCCCAAGCGGGGATCATGCAGGAGGCAGCCGGTCAATGATTCTCTCTCATCGTTGATGTTTCTATCTCTCTCTCCCTTCTTCTCTGAATTCAATTTAAAAAAAAATACATGTTTTTAAAAGCTACACTCAGTACCTAGGCAGCCTCATTTTCTTTATGTTCATGGAACTTTCCAGCTGCTTTGTGTTTGACTCATATGGGACAGTATCACACAACCTAAAATAATCTTTCTTCCATCTATCATCACTGACATCAGACACTGATACCCAGAAAGCTGAAGTTGGCCTGTGAAAGCACCTGTGCCTGGGTGATGAGCAGTGACAGTGTGTGGACCCAGGGGCTCTCTGGAGGCCTCACGACATTCCTGCTGGTCTGGTGACAGCTGTGTTCCTGCGACGGCCGCATCACACCTCTGTGTGGAGGGTCCCATGCACCCCTCCAGCAGTCAAGGCTCTGTCCTAACCCCAGTCCCCCCCTCCTGTCAGGCACTTTCACCATAATGCCCTGTAGGTCCCCAACTCACCCTAACCACACCAACATATCTAGTTCCCAGCTGCCCAGCCCCGCCCCTCCTCCTAGTTAATAGCTTCACTTTTTTTTAAAACTATATTTTACTGATTTTACACAGAGAGGAATTGAGAGGGATAGAGAGTTAGAAACGTCGATGGGAGAGAAACATTGACCAGCCGCCTCTTGCACACCCCCCACTGGGGATGTGCCCACAACCAGGGTACACGCCCTTGACCGGAATTGAACCTGGGACCTTTCCGTCCGCAGGACGACGCTCTATCCACTGAGCCAAATCGGTTTTGGCAATAGCTTCACTTTAATGTTTGACTCCTCCAGCTTCTTCATCCCCCCCCCCCAAAATCTAACGAGTTGTTAATATTACTGATAAAGATCAAAAGGACAGCTGCCAGGCCCTGAATCAAACATTTTGCATCTACTAATTCACCGGATCCTCACAACCGACCTATAAAGTAGATATTAAATTGTAAAGTGTCTGAGTGAGGCAACTGAGGCTCAGAGTGGTGAAGCATCTGCTCAATGTCACCCAGAGAACAAGTGGACAGGATAGAATTTGGACCCAGTCTGTGTGAGGACAAAGCCCTCATGCTTAACCTTGAGCTGTCACTGGCTTCCTCTTATGTCACTAGAACCGGCGTCTTCTGTCCTGCTTCCCCAGCATAGTTTGGGTCCTGATTTACTGGGAAGCTTCTCCCAGGTCTCCCTGCCTTAGTCCCTCTCCTCCGCCTCCATCCTGGTCCATCCGCCTCAGCCCAGTCAGTCCTGCTCCGAAGGTTCCCTTCCCCAGCGGTATGAGAAGTATTTTCCAGGCTCCTCTCACCCACTTCCACTCCCTTTCAAGTACTCCGCCTTCTCTCAACAGCCTGCCCCTCCTCTGACATCAGGGCCCCTCCCGCCTCTGCTGCTTCCTGGCTCTGCTAAGCCCCCACCCCCACCCCAGTCTGAGAGCAGCTTTTTGGTGAAATGCTGCCCATGCTCCTGCAGCAGCCAGACCTAGGTATGAGCCCTGGATGGCTCCCACAGCACTTTCCCACTTCACAGACGGGCAAGGTGAGGCCCACACAGGTGAACATACACCCTCCTACTTCTAGTCAGAGGTGAAGCTCCAAGTAAAGCCAGTCTTCTCACACCCGTGGCGTAATGCCTCCAGTGCCATAACTGTTCCTCACCAGCTTCCACTTGGCTGGCCACCAACCACACATTCCTCATACCAGGCTGAACCCTTTCTGGTGCTCAGTACACTACCACCTACACGCCGAGTACTCACTCAGTATGTGTTTACAGACTGTGAGGTAAGTGGTTTCAAGATCAGACATGACCATTAGCATGTGGCACCCTTGATCTTGAAACCACTTACCTGCTGCTGGCCCACTTCCTCGGCCTTTCCCTGAGAAGGGGGATCACAGGCTCCAGATGTCCAGTCCCTCAAGAATCCTGCTGGGGAGCCGAAGGCTCAAAGCTCTAATCAGACAATCCCCTTCATCTTACCTCCCCTTCCCCTCCTCTCAGGCTGGCTCCCCTGGCTTTGGCAGCAACTGTTCCATAGAGCCAGAGTCAAGGGCACCAAACTCGCATCAAAATGCGCTATCCAGGAAACCGGTTGGCTCAGTGGATACAGCGTCAGCCTTCGAACTGAAGGGTCCCAGGTTCGATTCTGGTCAAGGGCATGTACCTTGTTGTGGGCACATCCCCAGTGGGGGTGTGCAAGAGGCAGCTGATCAATGTTTCTCTCTTATCGATGTTTCTAACTCTATCCCTCTCTCTTTCTCTCTGTAAGAAATCAATAAAATATATATTTTAAATGTGCTGTCCAGTCATCTCCCGGGAGCTTCCTGCCTGGGCAGAAGGAGAGTCAGAAGCACCACCCCTTTAGGAACCACAGGCTAGTCTGAAAACTCTGGGAGGGCGCCACCTGGAGTTCAGCATTGCCGGCTGTGTGTGTGTGTGTGTGTGTGTGTGTGTGTGTGTGTGTGTGTAGAGAATTTGGCTATTCTATCTACCAGGATGACAGCCCTGGAGGAAGGGAGAAGAAGGGGAGAAGGGGAGAGGGGGGAGGGGAAGACCTGCACAACCATCTATCTAACAAATTTATTTTCTTTTCAGACCTAAAAACCTCCAAATATGCTCCCCTCCCCTCAAAGCAGTTTGGGTTCGGTGAGGTCATGTTGAGTAGTTTATCAGCCCTCACTGAAACGGGTCATCAGGAAAAGCTATCCGCCTCAGGGGTGGTGCTGGGGTTTGAGCGCCGCCCCCTGGTGGCTCTGGAATCATGCTGCCTTGTAGGGAAGGCTAACTGCCCAGGCAGTGGAAGCAGACAAGGACCTGGGCCTTGAGCGCCCCAAGACCTGGAGCAGCTCCATTCTGCGCTCAGGTCTACAGGGAAGATTCCTTTACGCAGGCATCTTAAATCCCTGCAAACCACAGGCTGCGATGAGTGGCTTCAGGGTGCTGACTGCAGCTGTTTCCCTCCCAGGGGTTTACAAAGGCCGCATCCCAGCAGCCAGGGGAGGCGGGAGGGGAGGATTCGCCACGGAGGCAGGGCTTGGGGGGAAGCAGGCTGCACCTCTGGACTGGGAATCATCCTAATGGATCCCTCCGGCCTTTTCTTGATGGGACAGCAGCCCTGGTCTGCCTGTTAATGACTAATTAACCGAAGTTTGGGAACTCACAGGCCTCTCCTCAGAGAGCACGGGGCCTGGGAATGGCCTGCCGTGGGGTGGGGGTGGCACTGGGCTGACACAGGGACTAGTCAGTGACAGGCTGGCCGCCAGAGCAACAGCTCCTCTGACAACCTCACAGCACAGGGCCTTCTGAGGTGCTGCTGGGGCCTCAGCATGTCCCCTGACTGATAATGCTCACAAAGTGCCCCGCACTGGCCCTGGTCACCCCGCCCTTCCTCCCCCCACCAGCAATCGAAGTCACTGCCCAGGAGAGCTGTCCCCAGCCCACTCGGGGGGAGCAGAGAGCTGAGGCATAGCCTTTCTGCTGGGCCATTGGGAAGCTCCAAGGTGAATGTCATCGGTGAAGTGAGGAGACCGGACTGGCTTCCCCCGCAGCACCCTCACCGCTGCGCTCCACGTGAACGGCGTCCCCTCACCTGCTGTACCACAGAGCCCCTCCCATCACGGCCTCCTGGGCTAGACTGGGAGGACACTTGAGTCCTTATGCTATGGAAACTTTCAGCATCATGCGCTCCTGTTGGCTACTGTCCTCCAAAATTTCTGTCCCTTTAGCTTCTGGGCCACTAGACCCAACCCCTCTGATAGTTGTGTCTTCTCCTTCTCTGGCGCCGAATTGCTCACGTCCCCAGCAGACCCTCCTGGCCTCTCTCCCACTCCTAGTCTTACCTCCAACCCTGGACACCCGAGCTCCAGCCCAGACACTCCCCGGGGTGTCCCTTGGGCACTTCAGCATCTCCACACCCCACAACTCCTCATGAGGGGTACCAGGTGTCCGGGAGAAAGGCCTCTTGTCCCCCCCTCAACCCCACATGCATGTCACCAAGTCCAGCCAGCGGTGTCTTCTCAGTACTTGAATCTGATCCTCCTCATTCCTAATACTCACGGCCCTCGTTCAGGACTCTTAGTCCCATGTTTCTCACCACAGCCCCCAGAGCAAGCTTTCACGAGTATGACCAGGTCATTCTCCTCAGAGAAATCCCCTCAGTAGCTCCTACTGCCCTCAAGAGAGTGGCCAACTCCGTTGCCCGGCACCCAGGCCCTGGACCAGCTCCCTTGCAACCTCGTTTGCTGCTGCCACTTCCGCCAGACCTGACTCCTGACTTGTCCTCCCCTGGCACCCCTTGTGCGTGTCCCACTACTATTCACGCTCCCCCTCCTCCCCAGCGCTCTGCCACAAACTCCCCTTCCTCACCTCACCCCAAAACTGGGCATAAAAATCATCTGAGTCAGTGTCTCTCCCCTCCCACCCCCACCTTCCCGATAAACTGTGAGGTCCTCGAGGACAGGGACTATGTCTTGGCCATCTTTGTGTCCCAATACTTGGGTCCACACCTGGCTCCTGGCTCCAAGTGGGCATCCAGTGGGCACTGGCTGAACTGGCCTGGACAGAGCACATCCACTCATCTCTCCTGCAGATTCTGAAATCACCTCTGGCTTTGCTTCCCATTCCCTGGTTACACGGAGTGTTTCATTCAACCCACTTGCTCCTCCTGTGCAGGAGGAAGAGCTTGGAAATAGAGAAAGCCGTCTTTTGGCTGCTGGATACCAGCAAAGGGAGGGTGGTGTTGGTCCCTGCCCCAAGGGGCCCCTACCTTTCTCAGGGTCCGCCAGGCTCGAGCGGACGGTCTCCACCGCTCTCTCCACCTCCTCGGCTTTGCAGACGTTGAGCTGAACAGTCTTCAATCGATCGGTCTTCAAGCTGTCCAGCTCCTTGACTCCAGCATCCCCTTTGTCCTGGGAGGAGAGAGGGGCTGCTTCACGCCCAGCCTCTGGGACGAGGACCAGAGCCAAGGCAGGGAGCTGGCCCGGTCCAGGCCTAAGCCTGGGGCTATTGACAAGCACAGGCCCACCTGGGCCTAACCCCTGAGCACTGACGATATACCAAGCACCAAACTACATGCCGCAGACACAGCCATGAGCCCCTAAATCCTCCCCGGCAGGGTCATTCTCTAAGCAGAAGTACAAACTCAGTGCCTGCCGGGGCCAGGCATGTGGGTGTCACATGATGAGAAGGGAGACACTCAGGAGTGGAGCACAAGTTTCGCCTCTCAAAACCCCTGCCCCCCAGTTGTTCACATGTATATGTAAGCCCAGGGTTGCTTAGATTTTTAAACTTGTAATGGGGATTTCTGCGTGAGAGCTCCTAAATTTTTAAGTGTTGGCAATTTATTTGGGTTTTCTAAAAAATATATATGAGGCCAAAACACACCCACCCGCCCCCTGTGACCAGCAGGCTGCCCGTTTGCCACCTCTGTTCCAAGCCGAGGCCCTGAAACCTGAAGGTTGGTGAGTGGCCAGGGCCAGCCTCTGCTGCCAGTTTGGCCACCAACCAGGCTCTGTGCACTCAGGGGCATCCCTCAACAGGTGCCCGGTTTTTCCAGCTACACTTAGGCATAACCACATCGCCGCCTGTCCTGGCCTGCTCAGGCTAATGGAATGAGGAAATTGTGTGTGTTTTTTTTAAGCCCATGCAATGATAAAGCACTATGCAAATTCGGGTGTTGTTACACATGAGAAAAGTATCGCTCACTCAGCAGACACATCTTGGGCCTCTGTGCTAAGTACTTTGCTAAGAACCAGAGACACAAAACCAAATATCTCAGCCCCTGTTCTCAGAGAGTCACGTTAGGGAAGGAGGCAGGTGAGTGAGGAGTACAGGGAGTATCTGCTGCAGGAAGCCTCGTGGGAGGTGGGAGGTGGGAGGCGGGGGCTGCACAGAGGTGGGGTGGGCAGGGGAGGCTTTTCAAAGGCACTGACAGCAGCAGACACGGCCAGAGGGGCCCCGTGGATGGGGCACTTCCGGTAGAGGTGAGCGGGTGCTGCCAGAAGCCATGACAAGGGGAGCAGAGGCCTGAGGACATTGTGGACCCGAGGCTGAGAGGTGGGCAGGGGTCTGTGTGGGCAGTGGGTAGCTGCTGGGGGGTTTGGAATGAAAGCAGATGTCGTTTATTGGGCATTTACTGCGCTTCCCTTTGTGCTGGGCACTTGACATGCATTATCTCGTTAGTTAGCCATCCCATCAGAGGCAGGCTGCACTGTCACATTCATCTGTCTGTGCCCCATATTCTCACAATAGGCCTGAGCTACAAACGAGGTGAAAATTAAACACTCAGTCATCATGTAATTGGCAGTGATTTCCTCCTCCACGGTGCACAGGGAGCAGTGACGCATCTCACCAGAGGACAGGAGCAGCTGCCAGAGGATGAAGCGATAAGAGGAATGCCCTCCGCTCAGCCCAGGCTTGCCCGGGGCACAGACAGCTGGCGCTGAACAAGTGGCAGCGCAGAAAGCACAAGGAGGGTCAGCATGTCGGTGCAGGGTTCTCTACAGGGATGGTCTGGGAGTCATGTAAGTGGCTTGAACGAGGAGGACTCGAGCCCCAGGACTGCAGTTCAGTGTCAGAGGGAGGCACTGTCAGAGGAGAGAACGGTGAAGGCCGTGTCCAATGGGGTCAAAGGTGAAGGAGATCATCATTCCTGAGAGAACATGATGGCAAGGGAGCCAGCTTGTCCTACGCAGCCCAGAAAACAGAACCAGGACCAAGAAGGCAAATCGGGTTCATGGTGAGGAGTGACGTTCCGAGTCCAGAGATGGCTCAAACTGCTTGGGTGGTGTTCCGACAATGATGGTGGAGGTGGGGTTGGGACAGGATGGGGAACGTGGTGCAAGAAAATCCCTTCTCTAAGATCTCTTCCACCCCTAAACTGCCATCCTCTCCAGGGAGCCCCCACCCCTTGCCAGTGCCCCTACTGAAAAAGCAACATTGAGTGTCTGCCCACCCTGGCACCAGGAATGGCAGCTACACCCAGAATCCTGTCTGCACAGAGCAGCCAGGTGTGAGGCTCGACTCATGCAAGGCTTGGCTCTGACCCCCTGGATGAGCCATGGCAGGTGCTCCATCTACAGAGGGGCAGCCAAGCCTGCAGTTTCTGCTGCCCTTTCCTCAGCCTCAGAGGGTTCCAGAAAAGGATTTTCTGGGGACGCCTCCTTCCAGTCCAGAGGCTGAGGGACTGGTGCCACAGACACCTCTCTTCTCCACACACAGCACACAGGCACCAGGAAAACATGACTTGTTTTCGTGCCGTCTTCATCTCGTGGCCCTCCAATGCCCCTCGAGCTGAGCCCAAGCACTCTGTCTCTGAGGGGGAGCCGACATCACCTTCCAATAGGACAGATTCCAGCTGAGATGCACGAGAGACACCTGACTGTCCTTTCCTCTTCCTGGTATCTTTCGGTAACTCCTGGACCCCACTCCTGACCCCTCCCCGTGCCTCTGGCCATCCTGGAGCCAATGCTCCTGTGTCCTCAGGGAACCCCCTCACCTCCGTCAGGGGTCTGCATGGACTTAGGTTGGCAGCTTGACAGTCCACAGCTTCAATTCAGCATTCGGGCCCCTAGGAAGGAAGCCCCACCTTCCTACCTTCACTGGACAGACCTCCTCAGGAGTCTTAGTCCTGCTAGGTCCATCTCTAAGCAGCCTGCACACCCTGCTCCTGACAGCCACCTCCACAGCGAAAGGGACTGTTCAAAGGGCCCTCAGCCGGCCCTTCCCCAAGGGCCCTCAGCCGGCAGGCTGCAGACCAGGTGGCCCAGCCCCAGCCTCAGGCCACGGCTGGCCGCACTGCCTGGGCCACATCGCGTCCCTGGCTCCACATCGGTCTGCTGCTCAGAGATGAGCTTTCCGTCCCGCTGTGTTGGTACGTTGGTAAAGGGGCAGTGCCTTCTGTCACTACCCCATTAAGCTTCATCTGTAAGCTATGCTTTCCTCACCTGGGTGCACTTTCAGGCAAGTCTCACAGTGTTTCCACTCATTCCCAGGTGATGGAGAGACTCTTTGTTTTGGCATAAAGAGTCCAGTTCGGTTTGCTAATCAGGTAACTGCAGTTGAAAGCCCAAACCCTCCTTCAAACGTGTATCCAGTGTAGAGCCTGCCCTGCCGCAGGCCTGATGGAGTGTGGGAAGCCGGTGTGAGACGCCAGGCAGCGGGGCAGAGGGTGTCTTTCTCACTACGTTCTAGCTCCTCCTCCTCTCTTATTCCTTAATCTCAGCTCCTCCCAGAGTTGGATCCAGAGGCTGACAAGTGAGGGAGCAAGACTATAGTCTTCTGAGGGTGGTGCCCTGGCTGGCCCTTCCTCCCTCCTACTGTGCCACTTCCCCCTCAGCCAGGGCTTCCGGGAGCCACCCCTCTGGTTGGCCCCATGGACCCTCTCGGAGTTTCACTGGGCAGGTGCCTTTTAGATGATCCCAGGAGCTCTCCCATTACCCACATCAGGTTCAGGCAACAGTGTCCTGCCCAGGCAGAAGGACAGCCCTTCCCCTATGCCAGTGGTCGGCAAACCATGGCTCACGAGCCACATGCGGCTCTTTGGCCCCTTGAGTATGGCTCTTCCACAAAATACCACGTGTGGGCGCACATGTACAGTGCAATTGAAACTTCGTGGCCCATGAACAGGAGTCGGTTTTCGACCTGGGCGAGTCTAATTTGAATAAGTGTTAGAACACTCAAGGGGCCTAAGAGCTGCATGTGGCTCTCGAGCCGCAGTTTGCGGACCACTGCCCTATGCAGCTCTCTCTGCACTGCTTCCAGACGAGCCACGCTGGCCTCTTTCTTGGGCCTTGCAACTTCTTTTGGTAAACTTGAACACACCATTCTGTGGCCTCAGGTTCCAGGGCACACATGGTAAGCTCTCCAAGGAGTTCTCTTGAAACCAACTTCATTTTACTTGAGACCAGGTGGAAAATACCACAGCGCACTATCAACTCTGTCCAACCTGTCCACCTCCTCCACCTCAGTGTGTTACAGCAGTGAGGCAGGCAATGGGGTAATCCTGGCGGAAAGGTCTCCCCGTCTCCTAGCATGTATTGTTAGTGCTCTAGCACCTCAAGGCCGGTGTTAAGGACACTCAGCACTTGTTCCATGTGAGCTTCTTGTCACATGTGTGAGAAACACTGTGACGAGAGAAGCAGGCCTAGGGCATTGTACTAGTTACAGGAGAAGCAGCAGGAGGTGCTAAGCAGAGAAGATAGAGAGGAAGGTGTCCACAAAGTCAAGAAACAAAGAGTTACAAACAGGAGTATGGTCAGGTCTGCTGGTGGGTTGAGGACGGCATGGTCTGAGAAGTGACCAAGGGATCTGGCACCCTTGACAAAAGCCATGTCAGAGGCATTCAGGGTCCCTCCTGGCCTGGTCCTGCCCTCCTTTCCCAGCTCATCTCTTCTTCTTCCATGAGTTCCACGAGGGCATTGGGCTTCAGCCATGTCAGATGACTGGCAGGGTCTGGATATGTCACCTCCATCCATCACAGGGAACTCCTGTGTGTCCTTCCAGATGGCGATGACATGCCACCTTGGCCCATCGAGCCTTCCTCATGATCCCGGAGACAGGCAGGAAAGGAAGATGGCGGTGAATGTGGTAAAGGGTGTGTTCAGTTTTAAAGAGGGAAGAAAGACCTCTCCAGGAAGGTGACATTGGAAGGAGGTGAGGGAGCAAGTCTTGAAGGAATCTGGGGAAGAGAAGGCAGCCAGGCCAAAGCCCAAGGAGGCTGTGCCAAACAGCAGGAGGCCTCTGAGGCTGCAGTCTCCTGACGGAGGGAGAGGACTGTGAGGTGAGAGTGGCTGGGGCAGCGGGTGTCAGAAGAGGAATATAAGGTTTTGTGTCAGAGAAGGAGCCCAGAAATAAACCCTCACATGGTTTTTTTTACAAGGACCATTCAATGCAGGAAAGGTCAGTCTTTTTAGAAATGGTGCTGGGGAAACTGGATATCGACATGCAAATGAATCAAGTTGGGCCTTGACCTAACACCATATACCTTAACTCAAAATGGATCAAGGACCTAAACCAATAAAACTCTTAGAGGAAAACATAGCACAAAAGCTTCATGACATTGGATTTGACAATGATTTCTTAGATATGACACCAAAAGCATAGGTAACGAAAGAAAATAGGCAAACTGGACTTAATAAAATTTTTAAATTTTGTACATCAAAAGACACTACCTTCAGAGAAAAAGACAATACTCAAAAACAGAGAAAATGTTTGCAAATCATATAACTGATAAGGAATTAATATCCAGAATATATAGAGAACTCCTAAAACTCAACAACAAAACAACCATTCTAAAATGGGCAAAGGGCTTGAATAGACATTTTCTCCAAAAGGGATAGAATGACAAATGCACATGAAAAGATGCTCAGCATCACCAATCATCAGAGAAATGCAAATCAAAACTACAGTGAAACATCACCTCGCACATATTGGGATAGTTACTATCTAAAACCAGAAAACGAGTATTGGCAAAGACGTGGAGAAATCAGAACCCTTGTACACTGTTGGTGGGAGGTAAAACTGTACAGCTGCTGTGAGAAACAGTTTGACAATTCCTCAAAAAAATAAAAATAGAATTACCACATGACTTGAGTAATTCTACAACTGGATATATACCCAAATAAATTGAAAACAGTATCTTGAAGAGATATTTTACACCCAGGCTCACAGTAGCATTATTCACAGTAGCTAAAATGTGGAAGCAGCCCTAACTGGTTTGGCTCAGTGTATAGAGCATTGGCCTTCGGATTCAAGGGTCCCAAGTTTGATTCCAGTCAAGGGCATGTGTCTTGGTTGTGGGCACATACCTAGTTGGGGGTGGGGGGAGGGTGTGCAGGAGGCGGCTGATCAATGTTTCTCTCTCATAGATGTTTCTCTCTATCCCACTCCTTTCCTTTCTGTAAAAAAATCAATAAAAAATATATTTTTTTAAATGTGGAAGCAACCCAAAGTGTCCATTAGCAGATGAAAGGATACGTAAAATGTAATATATACATACAATGCAATATGATTCAGCCTTAACAAAGAAATTCTGTAAGATGTTACAACGTGGACAAACCTTGAAGACTATACACTAAGTGAAATAAACCAGTTACAAAAAGACAAACGTGTATGATTCCACTTATATGAGGTGCTTAGGCAATGTGAATATACTTAATATCACTGAACAGTACACTTAAAATGGTTACGATGGTAAATTTTCTGTTAGGTGTATTTTACTGCAATTAAAAATAACAATGTACAAACCAGTGACTATGTGTGAAGGGCAATGGTGACAAAGATGACCGATCTCTTACCTTCAACAAGCAGCCAGCAAACACAAGGAAGCCTTTTGAATGCAGATGCTTGGCCAAGGAGAACCCAAATCCAGAGTCGCAGCCTGTGATCAGGACGGCTTTGCTGCCGACCTATTGTAGAAGTTTAGACCCCACGTTAGGAACCAGGATCCTGAGTGCAGAGCGACCCGTCCTCCTCCAGGCAGTAACAACTAGTGCTTCCGGAGTGGACCGCGCCTAGGCCCCCCTGCCTGGCGTTTTCATCGGGAGAAGCACCATAGTCTGACAAGCTTGGACTCAGAATCAGGAAACCAGGTTCTAATCCAGATGCTGCCACCGACTAATAATGTTGCTTGAGGTCCCCTTTCTCAACCTCGGTTTTCTCACCTGCAATCACCATTATCACAATCATCACATCATTACTTACCACGTGCAAGCACTGTGCATGCATGATTACTATATGGAGTTATTATTAGAATTGGTACAGAAGGCAGTCAATCAATATTTTCCTCTCTTAATTATCATAGTAATTGCATATAACAATCATGATTATTATATCATGCTATGAATGAGGAAACAGATACTTTTTAAATGCCCAACATACTAAGTGATAGAAATGGAATTGAAACCAGGCCTGTTGGGTTCTAGAGTCTAAACTCTTAACCTCTAAAACTCATTTGATGGGAGGTTTGGGGGATCGGGACGGAGTGTTGGTTAAAAATGTGAGAAAGTGGCTGTAAGAGTTCTGAAAGCTCTGAAGCCTGCTCAGGGCCCAGGGGGCCAAGAGGCCCAGCGGGAAGGGCTCTGACCACCTGGCTGGTTCCCAGGTAGCTGGGCTGCCACTCACCGGGTTCACTGTATCAGCGTAAGTGCGACGACCCACGGGGACGCAGGAGGCGGGGTAAAACAGCAGTGTACGCCTGCAAGAGAAGAGGAAGCCATGAGCACAGGCTGCGGACACACCTAGACCTTGTTCCTGGGGCAGAAGCAATGCAGAGTACCCTCAGCCACCATTGAGTGGCACTGACTGTCCCCCCATCCGGCCCCTGGGGACATCCCGCTGGTGCTACTGAGAAAGAGTGCCTCTTTCCTCCAGGTGGCGAGGCTGGTAGGAAGTGGGTCATCAGTGGCAGTGGCCATTTTTGCCACTATGTAGGAAGAACTTTCAAGTGATAGAGCTTTCATCTGCAAATTCCACCCCTTAGCCCCTGGGTTTTATGCTGCTTCCTGATAAGGTTTTTGTTTGTTTGTTTGTTTGTTTGTTTTTAATTTTGTATTGTTTAAAGTATTATATATGTCTCCTTTTTCCCCCATTGAGTTTTTTATTTTTTTAATTTAACTTTTTATTTTGAAATAATTATAGATTCACATGCAGTTAAAAAAAAAAAAGTAGACAGAAATCCCTGTACCTTCCACCCAATTGCCCCTAATGAAACCTGCAAAACTACAGTACAATTATCACAACCAGGATATTTACAGTGATGCAGTGAAAATACAAAACATTTCCACCACACAAGGATCTCTCCTGGTACCCTGTTACAGCCACATCCACTTCCCTCCCACATCACATCCTCTTTAACCACTAATTTGTTCTCCATCTCTATAATTTTGTCATTTCTAGAATATATATATATATATATATATATATATATATATATATATATAAAAGCTTAAGTGACCGTTACAATCAAATGACCAGAATGACCGGTTGACCAGTTACTATGATGTGCACTGACCACCAGGGGGCAGACGCTCAAAGCAAGAGCTGTCCGTGGTGGTTTTCCTACCATCAACCTCCTGCAGTCCTTCCCCGCAGCTGGCCAACCTCCCATGGTCCCTCCCTCCAGGAGCCAGCCCACCTCTTTTAGTCTCGCCCTGGCTAAGGAGAATCTGGGTCTGGGAAGCTCATAGGAGGAGAGTGACCCTGACACTGATCGAGAAAAGTAGCAGCTCAGAGGTGGCAGAAGGAGCAAGGCAAGCAGCCTAACTGTAAAGACATAAAGTAAGCACCACTGCCATCTGACCTCTGCCACCACACCACACACTGCTTGCCTTTCTGCCACTTCCTCCAACCCCCCCACCTCCGGTCACCACTTCTAGCTCAGCCTGTACCTCTTCAGGCTCCCAACTGCTGATTGGCTAGCACTCCCACAGCAGTGTGCTACCATTGGCCAAAGTCAGCTACCTATCATGCTTGGGGGGTGGAGCTCTGAAAAAATGTGTGGCTGAGATAGGAGAGATGCCATGTTTGTGTCAGTAACTCTGCCCCAGGGAGAGTGAGGTGGCCTGGGCAGGGGCAGCGAGGCAAAGCTGTGTTTCCACCTCAGAGTGTAGCTGGTGTTCAGGCCGTTGGGGGCACTCTGTCTGTGGTCTTTGCTTGCCACTATCTTAGCACATCTACACACCACCTCGCCCTGCCATGCACAAATTCATGCACTGGGCCTCTAGTCTATAATAATAAAAGCATAATATGCTAATTAGACCAGATGGCTAAACAATCTTCTGGATGACATTCCGGACAAAGCTAGGGATGCGAATTTTGTGCATCAGGCCTCTAGTCTATATTTATAAAAGGCTAATATGCATGTTCTTCCAAAATTTTGGCATAAAAATACCTATCAATATTCCAGCTGCTGGAACTTGGAATTTAACCTAACATTTACTTTCATTCCTCTTAAATATAAAGAAAAAAGGTATTGTGTTTCCTGGCTCTGGCTGCCACAGAGGAAAATGAAGTAGCAAAATGCACTGAATCCCCTTGGGAAAGGCAATCTCAACGAAGAGCTGCTTGTTTCATCTGTACTTACTTAGCTGTCTCTACACACACAGCAGTTCAGTGAAGTCTCAGGACATTTTAGTTAGCTGCTTCATGGGTAAAGTTTGAAAAGAGGAGTCACCCAGGTGATCAAAGTAATAAGACACATCAATGCTGTGTGCCTCCCGATGCACTGCACTCAGACACACCTCATCTGGGTAGCACCTTCCAAACACGAATACCTGAATCCAAACAAGAGGACATCACACAAACCCCAATGGAGAGACATTTTTTTCAAAGTGTCAAGGTCAAGAATGACACAAATTCAGGAACTGCCCTGATGGGAAGAGAGGAGGGGGACATGACAACTAAAGGCACTGCAGGGCCCTGGTTTGTACCCTGGACCAGGAAAGGTCCATCCGTGGGCCATCTGACAAAATTTGAATCCGGTGTGTAGGTCTGTTAACACATAACAGTGGTAATTTCCTGGTTTTCATGATTGCATTATGATTTTATAAGATGTTAACATTCAGGGAAGTTAGGTGAAGAGGATAGAGCGGCCTTTTGTACTACTTGGGCAACTTTTGTTATCAGTTATCTACACTAATAAAAGAGAAACATGCAAATTAACATCACTCCTCTATGCTACCAGCCAATCAGAGTGAGTATGCAAATTAATCTGAAAACATTGTGGAAGCCCCGCCCCCTGCCACTCTGGGTCTGTGGGGGTCAGAGAAGTTGAATGCCAGCACCTGAGGCTGGCTGCAGCATGAGAGACGAAGAAGTGGCCTGCCCTGATCCCAGGACACAGATAGCAGCAGAAGCCTCACATCTGCCTGCCCCACGTCCTGGGGGAGACAGAGAAACTGGGCCCCAGCGCCTGAGGCTGGGCGGCCCAGGAGACAAGAAGCAGCCTGCCCCATGATCCCAGGCCGAAGCCAGTTGAAGAAGTTGCCCACACTGCATCCCAGGGAAGACAGAGAAGCTGCCTGCCTGCAGTCCAGGCGCCAGTACCTGTGGCTGGCTACAGCCTGGTAGATGGAGAAGCCACCACATGGAGGTCCCAGGTACCAGCACTTGAGGCTGCAGCCCAGGCGAAGCCACCTGCCCACCATCCCCTTTGGCTGCAGTCGGCCTGGGCACCTATGGTTGACCAGAGGGAGGGAAGCCTGGGTGCCTGTGATTGGCTGGAGGATGGAATCCTGAGTCCTGGATGCAGGGCTGAGGCAGAGGTGGTTAGGGGCAATCAAGCCAGCAGGGGAGCAGTTAGAGACAATCAGGCTGGAAGGCAGAAGAAGTTAGGGGCAATCAGGCAGGCAGGCTAGCTGTTAGGAGCCAGCAGTTCTGGATTGTGAGAGGGATGTCTAACTGCCGGTTATCCCCTGAGGGGTCCCAGATTGAAAAGAGTGCAGGCCAGGCTGAAGGACACCCTTCCCTCCCCCTGTGCATAATTTCATGCACCTGGCCACTAGTTTCAAAATAAAAAGGTAAAAAATCTGATAAAAGATATTCTTCTGTGCCCCATGAGCCCTGGGAAGGTCTCTGTCTTCTGAGGACACCTTTGAGTTTCCTTTGCTGGTCGAAGGTGGGTACTGAGTGTCACCCTGAGAGTCAGGCCTTAGGACCACCTGCATCATCCATGTGTGAAGAGCTCTCTCTGCTTTGCCCAGAGAGTGTGGCACTCAAGGCCACCTCTACCCTTCAGTTTCTTACCTTGCTCCATTTTCTCTGTTAGAGAAACTCAGGGTTTTCCCGGGGAGCTTTGACAGGGGCCTGGCGAGGCGGGCGGTCAACATTGTGGCCACAAGAGGTAGGATGACGGGCCTCCTGCTGGCGGGTTCTGAAACACAAAACACACCCTCAGCTTTGCCTTGTTGCAGAGGTTTAGGCAGGAGTGGAAAGCCGAACTGAGCCCTGTACCTTCCTCTCAAGCTGTGGTCTCATGTGATAGTAAGTCAGGAGGAGGGGACGTCTAGAAACCTGGGTCCTGCTTCAGGCTGTACCACCAAGCCTGGACCAGTCACGAGGAGGGTGAGCTGTCAGAAACCAATCATTGTCTCACTAATAGAAAGATGTAAAAGGCTGGTCAACCTTGAAGCTCTGAAAGGTCAGAACTCAACCACTCCCTATCTAATTAAGACAGTGATAACGGAGGCAACGTCCCCATCAAATAATCATGTAAATCCTTATTACCTGTCAAAGGGCTATGGATGTATCCAATAGTCTCAATAAAAGGGATAGCAAGGCCAGAGCCTACAGGCAGTCCTCCTACTTGAGGTGGGCTCCTGCATGCCCCCCCCCCCCCATATTGCCAAATTAAATTTCTTCTAGTTTCTTAATTTGCATGTGGCCCTTCTCCAGAACCGGAACCCTGAACCATGCGGGACGTGAAAGGGGCTCCCACAGCGGGCTAGACCTGTGACCCTCAAACCAGGCTGTGCAGCCACTATTGGAGGACCCAAGGACCTACGCTCTCAGGGATTCCCACTCCATGAGCCTCATTCTCCGTCTGTGTTCCCCATTTCCAGCAAATCATCCATCTGTGTGACCCAAGACATCAACCTTCAATCTGAATTTGGCCACATGCCTCTTAGGCAGCTTTTCCAACAACACAGGAACTGGCTCTGAGGCTCAATTCATCAGTAACTCATCATAGCATGGGGACTGGAGTTATTAAATGAGACACATTTTAATCTACCTAATTAAAACACACACACAGTCTCTCCTACCACCCTGTCACCCCCTTTCAAGGTTAAATCAACCTGATTGCAACAGGGCCCAGTAGACTTGGTATCTCCTTAAGGCCCCTCAGCACCGTAACTATTTGTGTATTATTAAGTGAGGATGAGAGTATAGATTGTTTGCCTTCTGGTTCTGGTCAATTGTTAGGATAATTCCTCCTGGCCTCGGGGAAGGAAGGGGAGGATGGGAGGGAGTAAAGCAAGGCAATCACGGTGGAGAGATGTTGTCCTTTTCCCTGCGAACCGTCCCAGCTTCTCCTTTGCACACCTGCCTGGGGTTGGTTACTGGCCGGTCTTACCAGTACATGTTTCTGCCCGGAAGGCAGCCCCTCTTCTCCCCTTTGCTATCACCCAAACCCAACTGGGCCAACAGGTCTGTAATGAGTTCATTAACTAGCCAACCACTGAAAGTTCACTGGCGGAGGTTTAATCTGTTTAATCCTCAGGAAAGAAAAACAAACAGGGATCTCGAGGCTCGGCTTCCCCTCCCACTCCTACTCACCACACCCCATTGCCAGCGCGGCAGTCAAATTCTGTGACCCCTCACCTAAAAGCCTCCTTCCCAGGCCTGTTGTAACACCTGCTTCCCTGCCTAACCTTGTTTGGTACCGCCCTCCCCTGCGCTCTCTGCACTGTAACCACACTGACCTTCTGGAAGTTTCTGGCGTATGCCAAGCTCTTTCCTGCCTCAGGGCCCTGGCCCTTGTTCTTCCTCAGTCCAAACAGCCGAGTCTTCTGACCCTTCACACGTCACAGAGAATGTCACCTGATCCCCCATGCAACACACAGAGGTTCTCTCGATAAGATCACGCTTCAATCCAAAAGTACCTTGTTTCACTAGTACTTTCTCTTCCCCTTCTAGGCCATAAGCTGGGTGAGTCCAGGTACTTTGTCCATCTTGTCCTCCGCTGAACCCCCACCCCCCAGAATGTCTAGAAGAAACCTGACACCAAAGAGGCCCTCAGTGAGTCTCTGCTGAGGGACCCCACGGACCCCAACCCCCTCCATCTAGACGGGCCCTCCATGGAAGGCCCGTGCCAATGATGCCCAAACCAGACTCCGATCCTTTAACTGGGTGACCCAGCTGGCCGAGCGCATACCTCCTCTCACCAGAACTGGAGCCTGAGCTCACCACCACTGGGTGATTTCAAATCCAATTGTCGATAATTAAAGCCCTTTCCATCCCTCAGGCTCAATACTTGTGGCTTTGAATTTTACTTTCCTTAGAGTCAGCAATATCTAAAAGTGCTTCGAGAATCAAAATATTTGAAAGTGCATAAAAACTCGCCCACCTTGGAAAGTGTACTATTCACAATATTGTGTCTTATATGCAGAATGGCAGGCTTGTAAAGCTTTTTCTTCTTAAGTTTCTTAAATGTGTTGCTGTTTTCACTCCAAACACAATACTGTAGGCAATGGAATTCCCACATACTCTTTGGGGTTCTTTGTCATCTTAATGCCTGGCGCTGGGCTTCATTGTCTATAAATATTAAATCCTCAAACTTGAAATACCACTCACTTGCCTTTTGGTTTAGAATCAGAAATGGTTATGGGAGGTAGTTGCTGAAGAATGGTAGAGGCAGAAACCGGTTTGGCTCAGTGGATAGAGCGTCGGTCTGCTTACTGAAGGGTCCCAAGTTCGATTCTGGTCAAGGCCATGTACATTGGTTGCAGGCACATCCCCGGTGGGGGGTGTGCAGGAGGCAGCTGTTCGATGTTTCTCTCTCATCGATGTTTCTCTATCCCTCTCTATCCCTCTCCATAAAAAAATAAAAAAAAATAAAAATAAAAAAAAGAATGGCAGAGCAACTGTTGGTTTGGGAGACAGTTCCTTAGCCTTGAACTCAATTAGCTACCCCAGGGAGACACGGCACAGGGGGCTTGACTCTCAGCAACCAAGTTTATAAGGTATTATTACAAAATCAAAATGCTCAGATATCAATCTATAATCTGGGTGAAACATATCTAGCACTGAGAACATTTGGGTCTATTCTCAAGGGCACTTCCTTTCCATTTTCAATGCAGAGCCCATGGGTAACCTGTGGAAAGCATGAGGATCCAGCATGCATCCTTGTCCTGATGCAGGTGTCCCTGCAAGGGACAGACATTCCCTGTACTGACATCCTCAGAAGAGGTGGGATATCATCAAGAAACAGGAACATGGGGGGCAGGCCTTGGGCAGGAAATAGAAGTCACTTGTATGTGGACATGAAGTCTAGATGCCCCTTGGCACTACCAAGTGGAAGGCCCTGTCCCACTGGAGAGGCAAGCTGGGTTTAGGCAGGGCACCATCCTAGGCAGGGACACCACACTAAGGACCATAAGACGAGCAAGCTGTGTGAGAGCCAGTGTCTGGCAACTGGCAGCCTCTCTTCCTCTTGGCTGTTTTGTTTGCCAGTCTAGCGTTTTAAAAGGCAATGTAACTAGGCAACTACATTATGCTTGAACTCATAGTACAAATAGTTTTCACTCACTATCTTAAGCCTACCCAGATCGCCTTTGTTAACTGCCTGGACACTATGGGTATTTGAGTTTGAGATCCCTCACTAGATAGATGTATATTGTCCTTTGGCTATTTCACTTCTGAGTGCTTATTATAATCTTGCCTAGTTATATACTCACTTATATGTTATATGCATATGCCTAGTTATATAGCTCAAATATATGTTATATGCATATGTTAGTTATATGCATGCTAATTGCACAGTTAATGGGGCTTCCTTGAAGCTGTTACAGAATTTACCAGGTGACTGAAAAATACACAGGAAGTACTCAGAGATCCAGGAGAAACCCACTTATTTTCAGATGTACTAGTACAGTGACTTAGGGAAATCAGTTCTCCAAATCCTGAGGGAGTGAATATGGAGGAAGCTTTCCTTTTATACTTTTGGTTTCTTTGTTTTCTACCTGTTTCCTAACTACCAGGCTTTTGAGGTGGGCTTCCACAGCCCCTCCTGAGTCATTTAGAATGGGGACATTACACTGTGTCTAAATGCCTGGTCTAGGTGGTGCCAGTGACCTCCCCTCTAGCTAAGCTGTTACATTATTAGTTTATGGCCCCTTTGTAAGAGGGGAGTATTCTGGGAAATAGGTTCTTCAAGACAGGACAGGCATCAATGGAGTTAATTATCCGCTAGCAAGGGTGTGTGTTAGAAGGCAGGTTACTGGCAGATTCAGATTGCTAACCTCCTCAACTCCCCCCAAAAAGTCTTATATTTCCCATCAAGGCCACATGAAAGGCAACCTGAAAAGTTTTAAAGCCCTCATTCAAAAAAGATGCCTGTTATTCCTTAGAAAAATAACTATTGTGGAACAAAAGTCTAAAAGCACTATCTAGGAACATTAAATGATATAGTAGACAGACATTGTTCTCACTACCATCCTATATAATAAAAGCCTAATATGCTAAGTGTCTGACCATTCGTTTGACCATTTGACCAGTCACTATGATGTGCACTGACCACCAGAGGCAGATGATCCGACTGGTAGGTTAGATTGTTGCTGGGGTCCAGCCGATTGGGACTGGGCAAGAGAGGACTGGACATGCCCTGGAGCCCTCCCATGGTCCCTCCCAGGCCCCAATCGGCCATGATTGGGACTGGGTGAGACCAGCGGACATCCCCTGGAGGCAACCTCCCATAGTCCTTCTCTGGCCTCTAAAATATTTTTTCTAATTTCCTTTCAATGTGCACAAATCCATGCATTGGGCCTCTAGTTTTATCATAAATATTGTGGTGACTCTTATGTGCCTGTGTTTAACAGAGAGCCTAGTTAGGCAAACCTAATATAAACATTTGGATTAGTCTGAGAGACACTCTAATAACCAGATTAGACTTACTAGTAGGTGATTGCCAGTTCTCCCCAGAGACCACTTCACAAACACTCTCTGCAGTGGTCTCTCCTGCTCACCTGATGCCTGTCCTCCTAGACCTGCCTTTCACCCGCATGTAGCTATAGTTGGACAATAAGACCTCCTCCCAGCCATGAGGTACTGGGTCGGGGAGAGACACTGATCCAACATGAACCCATCACTCTGTCCCCTGGCACTGTGAAAGAATGCAAATCAGCCTCTGAAGGGCAGGGCATGTGACCTGGCTGCTAGAGTGAAGAAGAGGACAGTTATGCTACACGGGGCCTGACGCCACAGAGATACAGAGATGGAGAAAGCCAATGTGCAGAGAAAGAGAGAAGAGTCAGGCACAGGGGTCGAGAGAGAGAGGAGGGCGGGGGGGGGAACAACAGAGCCTCCTTCAGCAGGTGGATTCTGAGAAAGAAAATACCAACTAAGGGCTCCCAGTGGCTAACTGGGCTCAATTAAAACACACACACACACACACACACACACACACACACACACATACACACACACACAGAACAAAGTCTAGCAACCATTTCTACACAGGGGCCTCTCATCTAAACTGCAGGTTAGGAAGAAGCCTGAACTGAACTACCTGGCTGTGTTCTGAACTCTGTTCTTGCCTTCTGAGCCAGCCCTTACAAAGGAGTTTCTGGAATCCTATTTCAACCAATAGGACTGAGGCTTTCCCCGTCCAACTGGAGCTGCAGTTACAGCCCCATCAGCACCTTCATTAACCAATCAGAGTTGCTCCATTCTGACCCATCAGGGCCTCTTGGACCAATCAAACTGAAAGGATTTGGAGTCCTCATTTGTATTAGGTCGGGCCAATCAGGGACCAGGAGTGGGGACTTCTGTCTATATAAGTCAGCTCCCCTTTGGCTCTGGAAGCACACTTTCCCTTTCCACTGAAGAAAAAAAGACTGCTTCTCCTCAGCTGGAGCTGAAACTCTGACATGTTTAGCCAGAGCACAGTGGAGCTGCCACACCAGAGGGGCTGTCCCCAGGGCTGCCCCACTCCGGGGCCTCCTAACAGCTGTACTGCTTCATAATTGAGCTATATCACAATCGAGCTGCTTGCACAGAATTAAGTTTCTTTCTTCACCCCACCCCAAACTTGGTGTTGAATTGATGCCAACCAGCAGTTTACAGACAGATCTGCCTATGAGGACCTGCTGTACTCCTGTCCTCCAGCTCTGTACATGCTGATTAAGCAGCTTAAAGTTTCTGTTACTTTCAGCCGAAACAATATTGGCTGAAACACACTGAAAGCAGGTTCTTTCTCAGATCATTATTATTGATTTTTAAATTTGCTCCATATTCTGAGGATGCCATGATGTAGATCTTATAACAGCAACAGGAACATGGGCCTCCCTCTCTGTACTTCTTGATTTGTTACCCGAGGGAACCGAGTCCAATTACACAATAGTTGCCAGCCAGAAGACAACTCCAAGGTGATTTGATGAAAAGGGATAAACTTTATTGGAAGGGCACACCAGCAGTTCACTTCCCAAAGTGGCATGTGCCCAAATAAGGGATAAGATTCTCCTTTATTCTGGGAAATCATGAATAAAACTCCATGTACAGGTAGGAACATTCCTGCACATGCGCAGTTGGAAAACATGCCTATACACACATTACATATTAAAAACTGATGGAAAATCCCCGCCCCAGGGAGGTGAGTTTAGTATTATTATGGGGGCATCATGAAGTGGTCAGAATCTAAAAGTACAACCTACTATGGTTTGCTGACTAAATGTAGGATGTGAAAGAAGAATCAAAGATATTTTCAAGATGTTGGTGCAGATGTTTCAAGTGACATTATCCAACTGACAGATGAAGGGGCCACTCAATTCATAAGTACTTACCACGTTTCAAATCTGAGTATACAAGCTGGGAATTCTAATCCTCACTGGCCCCTCCAAATTCTGACTTTAACTATACTTTTCTCACCTAATTATACCATTTGCTACACCCTCACCAAGCCCTTTACTTTCCAATTTCCAGGCCTTCCTTATCCCATACAAAATCTGACTTCTTCATCTGATTAAGTCCTAACTGATTTAAACTAATACCTGCCTCAACTTGCCTTTCCTGATCCCCTTTAAAAAAAAATCTCTCCCCAAGTTAGCATTTCACACCTTCCTTCTGTATCTCAGTAACAACACTTACCTAGGGAGGGTAATATGGAATATATTTCTGTTTACAACCATCCACAGCCCCCAGGTAACCACTAGGCACCACGTGGACCATGAGTGCCCCACAGATAGGACTCACGTGTTGTAGCATTGGTTTCTGGTTCTACAGAATTCTAAATTCTGGTGCTTGACAGGAAGCAGGCGCTCTATAGAGATGTATTGAGAGGGAATATGAACGCTACACACATCTCCAAGGTCCGCTTCCCCCGCAGCCCGGGGGCATATGCCTTCTGCAGGGGCGGGATCACAGGCTTGGGTAGAAAGCGCATTTGCTACGTCATAAAGGATCCTGGCAGCGGAGGATGAAAGGCGGCTGGCTCTCCCGCCTGTGCCCTCGCAGGCTCAGACGGTGACTCCGCATCAGCTGACCGTGGTCAGACTCTGGCAGGCCGGCTGGAAAAAAGCCGTGCGGAGCTCAAAGACGTGACCTGCGCAGCGCCAGCCCCTCCCCAGCAGGGACGCGCACCCCGGCCCCTCTCGCCGGATGCGCGCAGGCGCCGCACCTCACGCGGGTGCCGAGCAGCCAATCTTAGGGCCCCTTCCCTTCCCGCCAGCAAGACCGCGGAGCCTGGGGGACCCGGGAGGCTCGGCCGGAGCCGCCTTCCCATTGGCTGGAGCGGCACCGCCCAAACCAAGCCCCACTGTACTCGGGCCCCGCACCCCCCGGCTCCAGTCCCCATCCTCCCCCCGCCACCCGCACCCCAGCATCCCCAACTTGCCACCGCGGCGCCTCCACCTCCCTCGGCCCTCCCACTGCCCCGGACCTGTGGTCCGTCCTGTCCTCCAGCCGCGGCCGGCTTGGCCGGTGCCCAAGGCAGCTGGACCGGCGGCCAGACCTCAGTCTAGCATCCCTCCCCAGGGCGCGGGAGGGAGGAAGAGAGGGAGAGAGAGCGCGCTCACCACCTCCTCCTCGACCACAGAGCCTCCCGGATGGCCGGGATCGGGAGGGGCGCCGGGCGGGACCGAGACACACACGGTGGGTGGAGAAGGGCGCGGTGCCCATAGCCCGCGCTGGAAGGCGGGACTACAATGTGACCTTGGGCGGGTTCCTTTCCTTCTTGGGACCGGGGTCCCCTAATGTAAAACGCGGCAGCAGGGAACGAGGAGTCGCGAGGGTTGTCATCTGGGAGCCTTGGGGCCGAGCTTCCAGCTGGGCCTCCTCCTGCAGAGCACCTCGTTCCCAACAACGCCGGGCGGGGCTCCCACCAGCGGACAGAATGCCCGGGAGGCAGGCGGCGGGCAGGGACCGCCAGAGGCTGAGACCTGTCTGAGCCGGATCGGCCCATCTTCCTCCTACCTTCACTCCGCCGCGGCCCCCGGGCCGGCCTGCTGGACTTCATGCCCCCTTCCCCCACCCCAAACCGGCGACCCGGCTACAGGGCCGCACAAGGACAAATCTAGCGGAGGGCGCCGGCCCTTCCCCTAACCCCAAACCAAATGGGAGGGACCCTGCCTGGGGAGGGTTCCGCGGAGGCACTCGCCTTGATCCGACGCTTCACAGGCACCCGCGCTCTGGGCTCTGCAGACCGACTGGGGGCGCTGCTGCCGTTTCCTTCCCGAAGGCCGTCCGCCCGCTCGCCCTCCGGTGGCCTCCGCTACCCGGATGCGCCCAGACACCTAGGGCGCCCGCGTTCCCGCTACGCAGGCGGGTCCGGGGCGGGGAGTGCGCCCGCGCTACCTCTCCGGGCGCTGGGGGGGCGTCTGGCCTGGCGGCTCCGGTGGAGCGTCCCCCCCCCCCCCCCCCCCCCAATCCTCCAGCGCCAGCTGCCTGCTCGGCGCCCCCTGCAGCCCATCCGCCTCAGACCTCAGCCGGGCGTGGATCTCACCGCCGGCCCCCCTCCGGGGACCCGCCCAGGCCCGGGAAGGTGCTGCTTCAGGAAGTGCGGACACCCTGGTGAGGGGGAGGCTCCTGCCAGGTCCTGGGCGTGCTTGCTGTCGTCTTTAGAGCTCACCAGGCTCGGTTGGTTTTTAAACTTGTCTTTTGATCGGGTGAAATGTATTTATAAGGATTTGCTCCGAAGGGTATTTAAAAATAGTTGAATAGCACAGCTTCCCAGAGTTTCCAACAGGCGACCCCACCCCGCCAAGTCTCCGGAATAAGAAACAGGCTGAGGAGGAAAGGAAGTTATACGGGCACGTTATTAGCAGAGCTGTAGCTCCAATCTGTGAGTTTATTCAAGGTTGTGTCTTCTTTATCCCCAGCTCCTGACCCATACAGCCCTGAAAACTGGGACAGTCATGGAGGGAGAAAGCACTTGGTTCTCTGTACCCATTTCACAGACAGACTCAAGCCAGAATACTTGCTTCAGTACAGTGTTTGCAAGGAGTTACTCTATGCCATGGCCATCAATAATAACGAATAGCTACATTGAGTCACCAGGCTATACTTTTAGGATTATGCATTGCTGGAAGAGCAGCTAATTACAGGAGCATTCATATTCCACATAGGAAAACCATAGGTCCTGACTTAGGACTGAGAAGTAAGTGGAAATAAAGTTCTATTTATGGACAACAGGGAAAGGAAGATTGAACTGCCTGTGGTTATATCCGACTCCTCCTGTGGCTGGCCTCATTTTCCAGCCAGCTTTGCTGAGGTAACCAGCTGCATACAGGTGTAACCAGAGAGAACTTAGCCTCAGCTGCACCTCCTATCTTCTTGTCTCTGGGTTTCTCTGTCACTGCAGCCTGGGACCCCTGCAAGAACCTGAAAGTGTAAAGGAACAAATATCTCATGGGACAAACATTGACCAAGGCAGGCAGGGGCTGGTGGAGAAATACTCACCCTCCATTCTAGTGGGCGACTCCAAGATACATCCTATATAGCCCCTAAGATAAGGTGACCAGATGTCCCACTTTTGGCGGGACAGTCCCGATTTTAACAATTTTAAAACGCCGCAGGACAGGGGACAAATTGTTAAAAATTGGGGCTGTCCCACCAAAAGCAGGATGTCTGGTCACCTTATCCTAAAGTGATGGAGTCCCAGTTGCCATGGTAGTATCCGTATTGATCAACTCTGGAATGCACCCTTGGATTGCCTTTCTCTTTCCCTCTTTGCTTGTTTGACTCTTCAGAGTCCATCACTTCTGTTCCTTGGGATTCATCCTCAAAATAAACTACTTGTATACAAGTCCTTGTTCAGGCTTTGTTTGGGGGAACTTAAAATAAGCCATTAGTTAACCCAAAAGAGGCATCAGTCCACCTGCTGGGCCTCATTCTCACCAAATCAATTCTGCTAACAAGGAATTTATTTGATCAGTTTGAACTTTTGCTCCTTTTCTTTCTCGGTTGCCCTGCCCACCAGGGCATCATGAATAAGCTCTCCGAGACAGGCAAGTCCCCTTTGGAGACACACACCCCCCTCCCCGCCCAGAGGGTCATAGTGTTTGCTCCCATCCCTGTCTCAGCATCATACTCTCCCAGGAGAGAGGGCCAGCTGAAGGGCTGGACTAGGTGAGAGTCTCACAAAGCCATTCTCAGCCCCACCTTAAACCTCTCCACCCTTTCAAGGTTCTGGCTGCTCACTTTGAAAATGGGAAAACAGTTCTGGGATTGAATGTGGAAGCAGAAACAGTGTGGGACCCAGATTCCTCCCAACACGGCCCATGCCAACTTTTTGTCTCCTTGTTAGCCCCTTCCTTTCCCCTTTCCCCATCATACCATAAGAGCAATTTCTCTGCCTGGATAAGAGGTCTTAGGCCAGGGTCTTAGGTACTTAGCACATTTTCATCTCATTTTAACACTAAGAAGGTGGGAAATGGATATGTACATGTACGTAAGCTAAATGAATTGTTAGAAGTCTCCTGTAAGTCTTCTAAAACGGGAGGTTTTGCCCTAACTGGTTTGGCTCAATGAATAGAGCGTCAGCCTGCAGACTCAATGGTCCCAGGTTCGATTCCAGTCGGGGGCATGTACCTTGGTTGCAGGCATGTCCCCAGTGGGGGATGTGCAGAAGGCAGCTGATTGATGCTTCTAACTCTCTATCCTTCTCCCTTCCTCTCTATAAAAATTCAATAAAATATATTTTAAAAATAAATAACAAGGGGGGTTTTGACAGGGGTTCAGAACAGGCTTTGTAAAAGAGGTAGCATCCTGGCAGACTCAGTTGGGATGTAATGCCTTCAGATCCCCCTGCCCAGAGAGCCACATTGTTTGCTCCGGTCCCTGTATCAGCTCCTAATTGCATCCTAGCACACCCCTTTCTTGAGTCCCAGCTTAAGCTAGTCATTGCCTCATCTTCCAGGCCCTATCTCTCCCATGCTGGATCTGGCCCTGCCCCATTTCTGAATGCCCCTGGTCCTCTCCCCTCTCAGTGCTAAGCATTGAATGCCAGATGGTACGGGGAAATCCTGCCAAGAGGCAGCCACCTGGAAGCCCTCCAGGAGCCCACGCACCTGTGCGGTGCTGAGTTCTGCGGAGGGATAGAGAATAATAACACCATCTACTGCTACACCAAACACACAGCTCTTCTGCTTGCCTTGATGCAATTGAGTTTTCTTAAAAAATAAAAAAAAATTGGCAGGGGTAAGGGCAAGAAATCTTACCCTTAATCTGCAGAATTTTAGAAGTATCAAATGGCTTTTTCTATTGTATAATTGGCAGTGAAGGAAAGAAAAGGCCCAATGCATTAGTCTAAATCAGCCGTGGTACTTAGGATCTAGTGTGCTGAATAGAGCCCATGATCTTCACATGCCTGTAATATTGAGTTCTACCAATATGAGAACCGGAGGCCCAAAGTTTTCCCTGAAGTGAATGTGCAAGGAAAACCAGTGTTGGGACCTTAAGGGAAAAAGAGGAGCTGTATCAGCGTCTGTATCTCTGTCTGTTGACTCATAGATTTAATTAACATGTTTAAGCCACAAAGTTTCATAGACTAGAAATTTAAGCAAAGTTCTTTTGAGGTAATTGGGATCTTTAAAGAGGGGAGAATATATGGAGGTTAAAAAACAACTGTGTCCCCATCTCTGTTCACTCCACCCCAAACTACAGCAACCCATAAGATGTCCTTCCTTCCTTCAGTTGACACGGATTGAGCCTTTATTATATGCCAGGCATTGGGCTTTGTCCGGAAAGCCATGCCATCCGAGTACAGGTTCCTGTCTTCAGTAACACAGCCTGGCGGTTAGTGACTGTGCTGTGCACCAGACACTAGGCCAGGTGCCTTGTGTGCATTATTTCACTTAATATCCGCAACAGTCCTGAAAGGAGCCCGAGATTATCTCCATTTTGCAGCTGGAGAAGATGAGGCTTTGGGGGGTTGAATAAGTAGCCCATAGCAGCACAGCTAGCATGGGCAGAGCAGGACATACCCAAGACTGACCCACTACAAAGACGTG